GTTGAAAAATGTATCTAATCAACCAGAAGCAAATGTATTTCTAATTCAAGATTATGAATATGGGTCACCCTTTAGAACAAGCAAACACAAGTCAAGCATCGTTCTTCTTAATTTGTTCCAGGTCATTGTTCTCTGCCTGGCTGCAGAACGCTAATGGATCATCTTGATAAAAATTCATTTTTTCATCCATCTGTTATATTGTACTTTTAATGTCAATTTCTCCTAATGTATCTTGATTTTGCCCCAGCCCCAGCTGCAAACGCACTACATTTTATTAAAATAAAGCCTCATGTCTCGTGTCTCTAAATGAGGGAAATAGCTACAAGATCATTTTCTCCCCCTACATTTGCAGTTTTAAGTTTCAACATATGTTAGCATAATGCTTTCATTCAATACCATTTTTAAAGACAGAGGCCTTTCTGAATCAATTTCTTAGATTCAGAACCAGGTCAAATCAAATAAGCAGTTTATGCATGTAAGAAAAGAGGTATCTGATGGCAACAAATGTCAAAGGCAATAGAGAAGAGATCATTTCATTTGGGAAACAATTCTTAAAGCATAGAAAGTTTTCTTATATCCTAATCAAATGAGAAGATGGAAGGGGTAAAAACCTAATTTTTTCCATAGCTATCTGACAAAACAGACCGATTAAAGTTTTTAAAGTAAGAAATGTGCAGACAGACGACTTCCCAAGTTCATATATGAATTATAAAGCTATATACTCAGAGTGGGAAGATGCTTCTAAGCAAACCCACACCTCAGCAGCCCTTCTCTGGCTGTAACTCCAGACACCAGAGCAAGACCAGGGGAAACTTGGCAGAGAGACAACACTATGACTGCAAATGTGGACATAGAGCCATATAATAGGAGAGGCAAGACAGATAAAGTCAGATGCCAGTTAAAAACGAAGAAACTGAAATATGAATAATTTTAAGGATTTGCCCAATAGTAACATTTGCAACAAAAAAGACAACAAAACTCAGACTGTTGGTCTTGAGTCATAACTTGCAGACCTTGGGATACCTTGAAAGTGTCTTAAGGGAGCATATGACAGAGTCTGTATACAGCAGTGTTTTAGGAAAATGGGTGAGTATAACGCATTGGTTCTCCAATCCACTGAGTCATATCTGCTCAGGGACTTAGGAGAACAGTCTACCAGTTTCTATTCATTCTGGCATTTGGGGGACTCCAAAGATGATTATTGTCCTGTTGCTTCCTGGAATAGAGTCCTTACACCTTCCGATGGTCTACAAAGCCTATGAGATTTGAGGCCTTCCCTGACCTCTCTGCAGACCTTACCCTTCCTCCCATGCTGCTGCCCCAATACTGGCCTTGTTACCACCACAGTACTTTGATTCTAGCTATTCCGTCAAACTGAGAGGCTTCTCTGCACCCCTCACCCCCCAAAGCTTTGCATAGCCAACTCCTTCTCATTTGTTTCTCATTTCAGATGTTTCCTCCTCAAATTGACCTACCCCAACCACCCTATGTAAAATACCTCTCCTCATCACTCTTTACCAGTAGTAATTGTTTGCATTGGGATTAACGCTATTTGATATTTCCTTGCTTGTTTGCTTACTAAGTCTTGCTCCACACAGAACACTCTTAGAATGCAACCTTCTAGAGCAGAAAATGTATCACCAATACCTGGCACGTAATGGAATCTTGACAAATGTTTGAATAAATGTAGCACAAACCCAGACAAACAGATTGGAAGGCAAAACTCCCTTCAATATTGGTCTGCATGCTGATTTGAAAAAAAAAAAAAAAAAAAAAAAAACGGGTTGGGGGGAGGTTATGGAAAACTATTTCTTCCTTCCTGGGATTGTTTCATTACCATTGCCCACTTCCATGAAGCACCCTCTCACCTAGTGTAGTCAGTATTCATCTTTTTATTTGTATGTCCTTGCAAGGCAGTAGCTTTATTATATATTTAAATTTGCCTAAATAATTATATATATAAATATAATATATATTTATATATATATAAAATCCTGTTTCTTTGTTCATTCAGTAACATATTCTTAGACATATTCTCGGTCATAATTTCATATGTAGCATATCATTTCTAGCAGCCACATGCTGCTCTGTAGCATGCCTTCACCAAACCTTACATTTCCCTTCTCTTGTGCTGAGTAACTCCCTGCTGCTATGAAAAGCACTGTGACAAATCTGCTCCTTTATGACCCATTATGAATGTGAATGGGGATTTCTCTAGGATATCTATCCAAGAATGGAATTTTGGGGTCATAGGGCATTTGTATGCCCTAATTTGACTAAATTCTACATGGAAACCTGCAGTTCCTTGAATTTCTGAATGCCAAATTGCCCAACGCACCTGTCAATTCTAGTTTTCTAATTTGTATGAATCTGATCATTTTAAACTGATAAACCTTTGTTATCCTATTTTTAAAAAGAATTTGTTTAAAAATAGGTTTGAGAACCTTGTTATATGCCATACATATGCGTATATGTCTGCATATTTTTGTATTTATGTTTTTTCCATTCATTTTGTTATTTTTTTCTAGGCTGGTTACCACATTATCTACAAAGAATAACATTCACATCTCCTCCTAAAATTCTAATTCCTCTGGCATATTTTCTTATAATTGAGTGCAAGGCATCTGGTGCACATGAACAATCATTGTGATAACTTGTTTTGAATTTTAGAGGCAATACATGCAACTTCTAAGCATTTTAGTTTTAAAACTAGCTTATTTGTTGTTAATCTTTCCAATTTTCTGATAAATGTATTGAAAGGTATAATACTGTAAAACATTTACATATGCTTTAGCCATGTCCCACAACTTTTGATATGTGTGTTTTCATTGCCCGTTGTTCTTCTTATTTATTTATTTATTTTTTCTTTGAGACAGAGTCTCACTCTGTTGGCCAGGCTGGAGTGCAGCAGCATGATCCCGGCTCACTGCAACCTCTGCCTCTTGAGTACAAGTGGTTCTTCTGCCTCAACCTCCTGAGTAGCTGGGATTACATGCACCACCTCCCCTGGCTCATTTTTTTTTTTTTTTTTTTTTTTTTTTTTTAGTAGAGATGGGGTTTCACCATATTAGCCAGACTGGTCTCAAACTCCTGGCCCCAACTGATCCGCCTGCCTCAGCCTCCCAAAGTGCTGTGGTTACAGGTGTGAGCCACCACACCCAGCCCCATTGTTCTAGATATTTCATAATTATTAAGACTTTCTTTGTAATTCAAAATTATTTAGTAATATGCTACTTATTCTGTATGCTTATAGGATTTTAAGACTATATTTATACTACTTATTTCTAATTTGACTGCACTGTGGCCGCAGAACATATTCTGTATAATACTGAGATTAAATTGGTAGTCTAGCACTTGGCCAATTTTTGTCAATGTTTCACATATGTTTGAGAAAAACGTGCATTCTCTGAGCAGTGAGAGTTCATTTAGATTTCTATAATTTTTCTTTATCTTCCAGACTCTAAGTGAACTGTGTTAAATTATGTAGTTATAAATGTTGAGTTTTTTATTTCTTCTGTTGTTTTGTTTCTGTTTATATAATTGTCTATATTAATAGTGCATATATGTTTATGATAGTTATAATTTCTAATGCTTTTGGTTTATTTTTTAATTTTCATGAAATATCCTATGATGCCATAGAAATGTTTTCTGAAACTCAATTTTTTAGATTATGATTGCCACTTAAGCATTTTTTGATGCTGTTGTTTACAATTGCCTGATAGTCTTCAACCTTTCTTTTCCCCAAACATTCTGTGTCTTTCTGTATTAAGAATGTCTTGGCCAGGCACGATGGCTCATGCTTGTAATCGCAGCACTTTGGGAGACTGAGGCAGGCGGATCACAAGGTCAGGAGATCGAGACCATCCTGACTAACACAGTGAAACCCCGTCTCTACTGAAAATACAAAAAATTAGCCAGGTGTGGTGGCAGGCATCTGTAGTCCCAGCTACTCGGGAGGCTGAGGCAGGAGAATGGTGTGAACCCTGGAGGCAAAGCTTGCAGTGAGCCGAGATCGCACCACTGCACTCCAGCCTGGGCGACAAAGCAAGACTCCATCTCAAAAAAAAAAAAAAAAAAAAAAGAATGTCTTTTTGTTGGGAAACATGTTCCTAGATTTTGTTTTTGCCTTTCTTTTGGTAAGTTTAATTCATTTACATTCATTGTAATTTTTAAATTATGCATCGTATTTCATATTTCAATTTACTACATTTTCGTTTTATTTGTTTTTTATTTTCTATTTTCAATTGATATGTCAAATTTATAATCAGTGGTTTAAATTTATACTTTTTTTTATTATGGCGGATAACCTTAAACTGATGGCATTTACTAATATTTAATGACTTCTATTGATTTTTTAAGATTACAATTATATATTATTTTCCTAAAACAATACAAGTAGCTTAGAGTGGATCTTCAATTGTCCCTATGTTCACTTTTTTGATATTGCTAATAATTCTGGATTGATATAAATCTCCTTCTATTCTTCTTTAATTTTTGTTGATCGTTGCTCTTTTAAAACATAATGAGCTTTACTAAGTGTTTTTATCATTTTTATTTTCTTTAACTCTTGTGACATCCCTCTAGAGTTATTTCTAGTATTTGAGTACTTCCTGTAAAAGAGTTTCAATATATGTATTCAATTTACAAAATTTTAAAGACTTTGTAAGCCGGAGTATCTATTTATTGGATCCACAAATTTTAATGACAGCATGATTGGATACAAATCTCTACATGCAGAGAAATTTTTCTCCAATACTTCAAACATATTACTTCATAATTTTCTTGCATCAAATAATGTGATTCACAAATCTGTTAATTAAATTAATTTTTTTTTTCTGTAAGAGGACTATTCTTTCCAGAAGCCCTAACTTTTTTTTATCTGTTATGTTCTTAAATTTTACTGTAACATATGTATCAGTGGGTGAATTATTTAAGATAGATCAGCTATGGTGTAGTAACCCCCAAACATCAGTAACTTAATACAATAAAGGTTTATTTACTTATCACACAAATTTCAATGTAGGTTTACATGGTCTCTTCTCCACCCCATGACTCAAACATCTAGGTTCCTTCCATCTTCACAGGTTCTCATCTCAACAGATGGCCTCCTTGGTTGCAATGAAAGACAAAGAGAGACATTAGAGAATTGCAAGGGATATAGTCAATGACTAATTCTAGGAGTGTCTTATATCAATTCTACCTACAAAAATACTGTAATCTTATTATAAGGAAGTCAGAAATATTATTTCCTTTGGGTCCAAATAGAACACTCCTAGACCTCATGCCATCACAGAATCCAGCTCAAACCCTAGAGTCTCCAGGTAATGCTCAATAATTTCTCTCAGGTCTAGATGTTAAACCTCCTGGTTCTATAAACCAAAACTACAGATAATCCTTTTAAAACTCACATAGAGAGTGGAAAAGGAAGAGGAGAACTGCAATAAATAATCTTATGTGTATAGTAAAAGAATAAAATAAGCAATAAGTAGCCACTGACCCATAACAATTTTGAAATCCAACTGAGTAGACATTAGGAACACACCTACACCAAGATTGGTGAAAATTTATTGGTTTCAACCTATGACCAATTACGTATATTTTAATTTATTTTAGAGCTGCAACATATTTTCCATGTTAGTCAGAACAAGACATGTTTGAAGTTGAAACAAATTAACTTGTCACAGTGACTTACCAGAACAAAAATAAGTTTCTTATTTATATGAGCAGCAGCTCTCCTCTATCTGATATCTCAGAGACCCTGGCTTTTTCTATCTTGTGCTGCTGTCATATAAACAAATTATATAAATAAATAGTCCTATTGTCCACTCTAGTGCTTAAAATCTACACGTACATTGCCTCTGAATCATTCCTTACCACCAAGCAACCCATAGAACTTCTGTTAACACTAGCTCTAGAGAACACTGTTATTAATTTAAATCTAAGTCAATTCAGATCCTTAGTATGGCTACCTTATTACGGAATTATGTCTATAGTAATTTCATATATTGCACAAAACATTCCCACTCATTTCTTTGGTATGCCTTTCCCCCAATCTCTTGATTCTAACACTCTAATTTTTACAAATGTCCCATATTGCAATAGACATCTCTTGTTAGACTACACTAGCCTTGGGTTCTGATCTACTATGGACCTTCTGTTTCCTCATAAACAAGGTTTGATGGCTATATAATCTTTCTCTCCTGCTTTTGTTATTGTTGCTATTTTAGTCTTGACCTTTATCTACTTCCTATTTCTATCATAGCTAGGAGATAGAAAATTCTGTGAGAAATGTCTGTAAGTTAAGTTAATATACCTATAGTAAATATATTAACTTAGCTTACATTGCTTAAAGTTGGAGTTCTTATGCACCCCTTTTTATTTCAAGTCATTACAGACCATAAACACTGTTTATTGATCAAATGGTCTTATTTCTCCCAGCCACCTCTCCACTTCTGATATGATACGGAAATGGTAACACTGTATCACTTCATTTATGAGAGGTTAGAAGAGTAATATGATTATAGAGTTAAATATCAACACAATTAAAACATGTATTTGACCAGTGTATTGTTGAGAATACACTGGTCCTGGCCTTATGCTTGGTAGTGAGAATTTAAGGAGGAAAAAGATACAGTAAAAAGGTGCTCTCAATCTAGATGGGAAAGACCCACACATAGCCAATTATTTTTTAAATGAGTCCAATGATAGATGTACGTACTGAGGGCTGTGAGATAGTAAATGAGGGCACCCAATCCATAAGGAAAAAGGTGACCAAGATGAATTTTAAAGGTAGATTTATTAGGTAAGCCCATTTTAAAGAGCAAAAAGAGCATGAGCAGAGACAGATATGAGAAACAATATGACGCTGACTTCACCCAGCATTAGATATCATGGGGAATGAGTCTGAAGGAAGAAGTGGTGGAAGATGGAGCCAGAGATATTATACAGTCCAAAATCACTAGAGTCCTTCAGTGGCAGGCTAAGGCTCTTAGACTTCAACCCAAAGGGACTGTGAAGTCCTTAAAGAAAATTAAGCAGAAGACTGACCCAGATGATGTAGAGCTTAGATAAACCCTTTGTGCTTCACTCTCCTTACTACATCTGTGCAGAATATTTCCAGAAACAGTCCTTTTTAGAAATCACTTTCTCAGCACCCCTTTGTGTTAAGCATCTGTATTAGGCCGTTCTTTCATTGCTGTGAAAGCATACCTAAGACTAGGTAATTTATAAAGTAAAGAGGTTTAGTTGGCTCACAGTTCTGCAAGTTTTATGTGAAGCATAATTCTGGCATCTTCTTTGCTTCTGCGGAGGCTTCAGGAAGCTTAAAATCATGGCAGAAGGTGAAGGAGAAGCAGCTGTCTCATATGATGAGAGCAGGAGCAAAAGAGAGAGTCAGGGCACGGGGGTGGAGGCGCTACACACTTTTAAATGAGCGTATCTCACAAGAACTTACTATCATGAAGATAGCACTAAGCCATAAGGGATCTATCTCCATAATCCAATCACCTCCCACAAGGCCCCACCTCCAGCATCGGGGATTACAATTCAACATGAGATTTGGTTGGGAAGAAATATCCAAACTTTATTAACATCATCTTCTCACCTTCATCAGCCAAATAATCTGAGTAAACAGGCACCCCCCCTGCTACCTGACCACAAAAGGACTGTCTGGAGCTCCTTCTTATACCTGCAGCACATCAGTCAGGGCAAACCTCCGACACAGACCAAGAGCAGAGCTCCTCTTTATCACACTGCTCATGGTGAATCCACTCAAGATTTGGTGGAAGTGTATCACATTTACCCACAGGAAAGTCAAACTCTTGGATATTCACCATGTTTCCACATCTAAATATCTTCTGAGTTTCTCATTTATTCACTCCACAAGCATTTGATAAGTTCCTACTATGCCAGCTAAAACCAAGATGAATTTTAAAAGCCAGGTATTGTGAATTTCTCCAGGAGCAGACTCTGAGACAGGATTCCTGTGTATTTAGTTCTTAAGGAAGTGCTCCCAGGAGAATTTCATAAAGGAGGAGAAGAAACAGAGGAGGAAAGAGGTTGAAGTCAAGCAAAGGTGATTTCAGGCAAAGTCCCAAAGAAGAGAGTTACAGCATGATTCTGCATAACACTAGAGTGTAAGTTAAATTCCAGAGCTTACCACAATTCAGAGCAAGAGATCTGGACTTGCATAATCCCACACAACTCAGTCATGGATGAAGCCCTCCCTGAGGGGTGTGCCATCGCAGGAACCTCAGGATCTCTTTGCTGCTCAAAAACCAGCTCTAGTAACCCAGGGTCTCGGGTATAGGTCCTTAGAAACAAAGAAACACCAAAGCTGAAGCATATATACTAAGAAAGGGTAAGAAAGATGTGAATATATCTGAGTAGAATAGCAGTTAGATCTTCTAGGGTCATCAAGAAACTCATAATTTAATGGGGAAGACAAAAATTTGGTCAGAAAGATATACTAAGGAATTTTACACACTCTGAATAGAAAGGGGTATATTACACCATTCAATAAATAAATACTGAAGTGATAACTCTCCTGTCCATATGAACGAAGTCTTCACCAAAGTGAAGGCGCTGGCTTTCTCTCTGTGCCACAGTGTTTTATCTTAATACCTTCCAGCAGGTTGAAACTTTATAATTTTATTGACGACTTCTAGTTTACAATCAGCTGCACTACAAAGGAACTCTTGTATTTTGTGTGATCTGTGATCAATGTGACTAGCAGATGTTAATTATTTGTCTCCTTTCTTCACTTGATAAAGCCTTCCTGTCACCAACAATCTTCTTATATTGCAAGTTGCAATTGGTCATAAACATTCAAGTTTACCTATAGGGTTACTTTGAATATTGCTATGACCAATGAATATTTCTTTTATTTTTTTGATTGACAAATAATAATTATATATTTATGAGTTCCATAATAATGTTTCAATACGTATGATGTATAGTAAATGAATTAGCATAATTAGCATATCTACCATCTCAAATATTTATATCTTTGTGTTGAAAATATTCTTTACCCTCCTCCTAGCTATTTAAAACCATATACTTTCAACTGCACTCATCCTAGAGTGGTATAAAACACTAGAATTTATTCCTTCTATCTAGCTGAAATTTTGTATCTTTTAACAAATCTCTCCTTATATTCTCTTCCTTCTACCTTTCCCAGCCTCTAGAATCTTTGTTTTTTTCAATAGAGACAGGATCTCACTATGTTGCTCAGGCTGGTCTTGAACTCCTACTCTCGAGCCATCCTCCCACCTTGGATTCCCAAAAAGCTGGGATTACAGGTGTGAACCACCGTGGCTTGTCCTATTCTACTTTTTATTTCCATGAGATAAACTGAGTTTTGCTTCCATATTTGAGTGAAAACATGCAGTGTTTAGCTTTATGTTACCAGCTTATTTCACTTAACATAATGTCCTCCAGTTTCATCCATGTTGCTTCCAATGACAGGGTTTCAATTTTTATGGCGGAATAGTATTCCTCTGTGTGTGTGTGTGTGTGTATTTCTAAACTCTCACTTGTCACTAGAACCAGAACCTCTTTGTTTTATATGTTTATCAATGTCAAATTGCAGATCACAAATAAAATAATTTTTATTGATTTTCACAAGTTATGGGACTGCTTTCAACCTTGTCCAGAGTTTCTTACCATCAGTGTATAACTCATGCCTAAAGATGAAATGCCTGTTTACATGTTTAACATGAACATCACAGTGAGGTTGTTTTCTTTCCTAATTAATTGATTATGTTCCAAATAAAATCAGACAAGATTAAATGACTCTCCCCAAAATGCTCCTTATTTTAATTGCATATATTTTGACTTGAAAATTGTCTCATCTCTGGAGGACATAAAATTGTATTCAATTACTCATCAGAGCACAAGAAATTGGAGTCCTTCAGAATCCACAATGTGGATTCTGAATCTACCATCTCATACCAGTTAGAATGGCGATCATTAAAAAGTCAGGAAACAACAGATGCGGGAGGGGAGGTGGAGAAATAGGAACACTTTTACACTGTTGGTGGGAGTATAAATTAGTTTAACCATTGTGGAAGACTGTGGCAATTCCTCAAGGATCTAGAACTAGAAATACCATTTGACTCAGCAATCCCATTACTGGGTAAATACCCAAAGGATTATAAATCATTCTACTATAAAAACCCATGCACACATATGTTTAGTGCAGCACTATTTACAATAGCAAAGACTTGGAACCAACCCAAATGTCCATCAATGACAGACTGGATAAACAAAATGTGGCACATACACACCATGGAATGCTATGCAGCCATATAAAAGAATGAGTTCATGTCCTTTGCGGGGACATGGAGGAAGCTGGAAACCATCATTCTCAGCAAACTAACACAGGAAAATAAAATCAAATACTGCACATTCTCACTCATAAATGGGAGCTGAACAATGAGAACATACAGGCACAGGGAGGGGAACTTCACACACCGGGGCCTATCAGGGGATTGGGGACTAGGGGAGGGATAGCATTAGGAGAAATATCTAATGTAGATGACGGGTTGATGGGTACAGCAAACCACCATGGCACATGTATACCTATGTAACAAACCAGCACATTCTGCACATGTATCCCAGAACTTAAGGATAATGATAAAAAGAAAATTGGCGTAAGAAATTTAGACTTCATATTTGTTACAATTAAGATGACATATTTCTGGAAAATATGATTTCCTCACAGGGTGACTTCTCATGTGCTCAAATAAACATTAGTTGTGTGATTGTGTTTATTTCCACAAATTTCCAGAGGGGTTTTGGGGTAACTTATAAGGTATCTTAAGAGCTGATAGGATTAGAAACATTAAAGGTAGGAATAAAGAATGTTGGTGAACAAGGGCATGGGCAAGGAACCAGTTAAACCATGAGGAAGCATCTTATAATGGCCTACAGAAGTACTGGGATAAAACTAGCAATTAATTGAGCAAGTTAGAATGTTCTTATGATCTGAGGGGAAACAGATTTGCTGCAAAAGCAATACAAGTAAAAACCAGTATCTATTAGACGTAAGAGAATATTAATTTCTGATTGTACAACTTTTAACAAGGTTAGGATGGCTTCCACACACTTGGAAGAAAAATTGAATTCTATTAATGTTGAGTGAGGACCAGCTGAGGAACCCAAAGCACTTCTCATTTTACAAAGATAGGAACATTTTAAAAAATTGAAATGGGCAGTTTTGTGGCACCCTGATGAGGTGCATAAATTATCCTAAAGAAAGCTAAATGAAGCCAAAAGAGAGATCTAAAAGGAGGGGTTTTAGGTTGAAACAAATGTGCATATCTTAACATGGGTGTGTGAATTGTTTGGAGTTAAAGAATTAGTTATTCATAGATGCATATATAATATCCTCTTTACAATGAGATAGCTCAGTTGCATGGAAAAATGTGGAGCCTCCTTCTACTGGATTGGATGAATTGAATCTATAAGTAAATCGTACTGTGAGTTAATCACAAATTTAGCTCTAAACTTCCTAGCAAGCAACATAAAAACAGACAACTTTTACCTTAAATGATTTAAAATACTGACGAACTAAAAATAGGATAATGGCACAGATGAATTACAACTTTCCTTGATACTAAGATCCTATAGGAATTTATCCCAATGGTTGTTATAAAAGAGAGAGAGAGAGTTTGTGATATGATGAATAAACTGACCTACACAACATCCTTTCTATAAACCTCACTAAGGTTTTTATAAGGGCATTTCTCATAACATCAAAATAGGCTAAATAGATATTACAGCAAAATGAAATTCAGTTTTAAAATATCCTTCAAGGCAAGGTCTTGAATAAAATTATCTTGTTATTTTATGTGATCCATGTGTATGTTCAAGGCTATCTGAGGAAGAGACAGACCGATGTATCTCAAGCAATCCTCCCTGAATATCATTCCCCTTACCTGATCTTTGAGCAAAGGTGGAATAGTAGTGGTGAGCTTGACATTGTCTCTCCCTGTGAGATGCCCAGAGTTTGGCACATCTGTGATTTCTGTTGCATGCAGACCTGTGTGCTGGGAAATCAGCAAGCCAAGCTCAGGGGAAATAAGCTTTTTCGGGAACTGAAGAGCCAGATTGTAACAAATGCCTGGAAGCCAGCCTGTCCATTTCCACCTAGACAGGGGATTAGGAAGAACTTTCCTGGAGTGGGATTGACTCAGAAAATTGTTTCCAATCCGCTCACATGACTCACTAATTAAGGCTTTCAAATCCCTCTCTATATGATTGTGGAAAAAAAGACAAGGCTAAATAGATATCTATGTAGGACAAAAACAAACAAATTTTTAAAACCACTTTGGTAAATCACCTGCCAAGTATCTAAATTTGGACTATTCTACTTCCTAAAGGATCCTCCAAGGTAAAACTATTTGGGAAATGTACAACCTCCTAAGGCAATTTATTAAATGAATTTATAAGATTATAAGCAATGTAAAGTGAACCCCTAGAATTCCCCACTAATTTATAACTCGCCCATCAGTGTATAAAAGTCTCTAGCTAATCCTGACCCTTGGATGTGTACACTTAAAAGGGTAATTGTGCTATATTTTCCCAGAAGGAAACTTTTCTGTTTACTCGATAATTTCATTTCTAGAAATTTACCCTACACATATACACGTAGATGTGTGAAAAACTGTACTAACTAGAATGTCTGCTCCAGCAAGAAACTGGAAGCTATTTTAATGTCTGTCCATAGAGGGCTGATTAAAGGTGGGGAATTCTGTACTGTCATCAGAGAGGATAAATCTATTATATATTGGCTGATGGAGAAATAATATAAATAGATTTATTAAATGGCAAATGAGTAAAGTGCACAAGTGTTAATGGTATAACTAGTGTGTGTGTGTGTGTGTGTGTGTACTGAAAAACTATTACAGCAAACTGTAAATAGAGGGAGGAACATTGGTAAATGGCAAACCACATTTAAACAGCCCATCTAAGCCTCTCAACAACAAAATCTGTGCTCTTTGCACCACATGAAAGAGTAGACACATTTGGCCTCATTTTCAAAGGACACACACAGCTATTAAATGGCACGTGGGCCTTCATCAGATAGCAAGGCCCACACACACTCTTTCCTTCTACATATTACTTTCTACAATCATTCAGTTTTCTTTGAGTGTCTTTTTTTAAATTGCTATAGATATGTATATCCTAAGAACCAAACCCATCTCAACCTCTTTCAAGCCATGCTTTTTCTGGCAAAGGGCCTCATTTGTAGCTTTTATTGCCTCAGTTCTTGATTTATCACCACACCCTGGGCTGTCCTGTTGGGTGAAAGGT